CCATGTGCCACGGCATTTGGACCGGGGAAGCACAGAAAAGCAGAATTGGGAGGCACTGGGGCGGTTGAGATCAAAAAAGGGCAGCTTCATCGTGATTTCGCCATGTTGATGTCAGAGCTTCGCGAAGGTGGATGCGTGTGGCTCAGGCGTAGAAAAAGCTCCGCTGCACCGTTTTGGCCACCGTTTTTCCGCCCTGCGAGCGGAGCTCAGGTCCGGATGTGACAGTGGATCTGGTGGAGCAGCAAGAGGCTCTGCTCTCAGGAGCTGGCCAATGCACGTATCCCTGTCACGGGAATACAGCGGGTCTCTGACGGAACGGGAATGACGGAAGAAAAGGAACGTACCGATCTGTCTGTCACGATTGATTGGCGATTGATTGCCTCCTCGATGAACTGCCCCGCAGCACGTGGCCCAAGCTTCCGTTCCCCGCTGCAGCATTTTTACGAATTGCTCGAGCCCCATTCGACGATTAATTCAGCACCCATGAAAGAGTGAGATCATGGGCCGGTAATCATCACGATGCCACGCCTTCGGGCCGCTCGTCCTGGCCCTGAACGGTCCATCTCCTCGGGACACTACCTCGAGTGGCTCCAAAGTGCGGCATTCGCCCGGCAATGTCGTTGCAGCAGATCGTCACCAGCCATGGAACATTGCAGCAAGGTCTGTCCATCTGGCAGCTTGACATGGGAATGACCGAGTTCGACGCAATTTTGACAATTGGTCTGGGTGCTCTAAATGTCAAGCAACCTTCGCCTTTCAGCTCTCTAGAATTCTGAATTAAATCATCAAGCCGAACAAATCAATCGCCATTTGAAAGCAGTCGCACCTCCCCAGTATCCGCACCTTCCCGCAGTTCCCACTTTGGCGTTGTGCAGCTTCAGTTTAGGTGAGCATCGACGTCATCGACTCGCTCATCTTCCCAACCTGTTCCCACTATCCGCTTCAATCGGCATAGCAAAGCTCCATCCAAGGCCTTTCAATTCCCAATCTGTAACCGGGAGTGCCATCTTCATCGCCAGCTTGGTTTCCAGAATTCTTCTTCACTTGGCATCCACAACACATTCCCCCCATCAACGTTGCATCTTGCTGCTCCTCCATCCCAGCACTTCACTCCACCGCCAACGACATTGACACCCTGCACTGATTCGAATATCAGACGCAGACGCAGTCCACGAGCGAATAAGCAGGGAATCTCCTTGCGTCTAGACATACCCAGAGTCTGACCGTCCGCTCGCAGCGGCATCCCATCGCCAACATGCCCGGCGAAGTCATCAAGGAACCCAACCCACCTGCTCTGCCCTCTCACCTCCCTGACAGTGTGCTTGACCTCGCCGTAAAGATCCAGAAGAAGCCTTTGGACGCCAAAGTCGCCAAGTCTCTGCGCGACTTCCAAAATGCAGCCTGTTACATCGCTGCTGGTAAGCCGATCCCACCCTGCCCCTGTAGATCTAGCCATCTTCCCGAACCCCGGCTGACAGCGAACAGCGATGATCTTTCTCCGAGACAATGTGCTCCTAGAGTCTCAACTGAAGCCTGAGCATATCAAACCCCGACTGCTGGGTAAGTCCCCCGTGGAGTTGGCCGAGCGATAGCTGACGGCACAGGTCACTGGGGTACTTGTCCCGGTCTCATTTTGGTGTGGTCCCACCTCAACCTTCTCATCCGCAACCATGACATGGACATGATCTATGTCATTGGCCCGGGCCACGGTGCTCCTGCGGCTCTGGCATCCCTCTGGCTGGAGGGTTCACTGGGGAGATTCTACCCGGACAAGTACAGCCTTACCAAGGAGGGTTTAAACAACCTCATCACCAAGTTCTCGGTGCCTGGTGGTTTCCCCAGGTAAGGTCCGAGTCCCATGATAGTCAATTTCACACACTAACACAACCAGCCACATCAACTCGGAAACACCAGGTGCCATTCATGAGGGCGGCGAGCTTGGCTACGCCTTAGCTGTCTCCTTTGGTGCGGTGTTTGATAACCCGGATCTTATCGTCACCTGCATTGTGGGCGATGGTGAAGCCGAAAGCGGTCCTACCGCGACGTGAGTTGTACGATGTCTTGTTTGGAGCCTATCTAACCGACCATAGGGCTTGGCATGCCATCAAGTATCTCGACCCCAAGGAGTCTGGTGCCGTCATTCCCATCCTTCATATCAATGGCTTCAAGATCAGTGAGCGAACCATCTTTGGCTGCATGGACGACAAGGAAATCGTCGCCTTGTTCACCGGCTATGGCTATCAGGTCTGCATCGTCGACGATCTTGAAGACATCGACACAGATCTTTCCGGCGCCTTGGAGTGGGCTGTTACGGAGATCAAGAAGATCCAAAAGGCTGCACGATCGGGTCAGCCCATTGTCAAGCCCCGGTGGCCCATGATCGCGCTGCGCACTCCCAAGGTAAACCTCACCTAACCTGCGAGGAAACTCAGCTGACCTATTCAGGGATGGTCTGGACCGAAGGAAGTTGACGGGGTCATTATTGAGGGCTCCTTCAAGTCTCACCAGGTCCCACTAGCCAAAGCGGGTTCAGACAAGACTCACCTCGAAAAGCTCGATGAATGGCTCTCGCGCTACGACATCGGCAATCTCCTAACCGACGGCAAACCCAACACCAGTATTCTCGAAGCCATCCCCAAGAATGACAGTAAGAAGCTCGGACAATTGAAGGCCACATACGACCCGTACATTGGCCTCGAGGTCCCTGACTGGCAGCCCCTTGCAGTCGAGCCTGGTGAGCAGACCAGCTGCATGAAGGTGACCGGAAAACTTCTCGACGAGGTGATGCAGGCCAACCCCAAAGGCTTCCGTATGTTCTCTCCTGACGAGCTCGAGAGCAACAAGCTTGATGCCATCCTCGACCACACCGGCCGTAACTTCCAATGGGACGAATACTCCCGGGCCCAGGGTGGCCGTGTCATTGAGATCCTCTCGGAGCACTGCTGCCAGGGATTCATGCAGGGATACACACTCACCGGCCGTGTCGGTCTCTTTCCCAGCTACGAGTCTTTTCTGGGTATCGTGCACACGATGATGGTACAGTATGCCAAGTTCAACAAGGTGGCCAAGCAGGTCAAGTGGCGCGGCGAGCTGGCCTCCATCAACTACATTGAGACGAGCACCTGGGCTCGACAGGAGCACAACGGCTTCTCCCACCAGAACCCCTCCTTCATCGGCGCAGTCCTCAACCTCAAGGCCGAGGCGGCAAGAGTAGGTCCCCAATCTACTGTCTCTTTGAAGAACGCCACTAACATGGTCAGGTGTATCTCCCCCCCGACGCAAACTGCTTCCTTAGCACAGTCCACCACTGCCTCCAATCCAAAGACAAGGTCAACCTCATCATCGGCTCCAAGCAGCCCACCGCAACCTACCTCTCCGCCTCCGCAGCCGCAGAGCACTGCCGCATCGGCGCCAGCACATGGTCCTTCGCCTCCACCGATGGCGGCGCCAACCCGGACGTGGTCATCGTCGGCGTCGGTGTCGAGGTCACCTTCGAGGTCGTCAAGGCCGCCGAGCTCCTCTGCACCCTGGCCCCGGAGCTACGCGTCCGCGTCGTCAACGTCACGGACCTGATGGTCCTCAAAGCGGAGGCTAAGCACCCGCACGCCCTGACGCGGCAGGTCTTCCTGGAGACCTTCACCGAGGACCGGGCCGTGTGCTTCAACTACCACGGGTACCCGACGGAGCTGCAGGGCTTGCTGTTCGGGCGGCCGGGCTTGCATCGGATGACGGTCGAGGGGTACCGCGAGGAGGGCAGTACGACGACGCCGTTTGACATGATGCTTGTGAACTGCGTGAGCCGGTATGACGTCGCGATTCGGGCATTGAAGGGCGGCGCGGGGGTGAATGAGAAGGTGAAGGCGAGGTTGGACGCTGCGATTGGGGAGATTGAGGCGAAGGTGAGGGAGGTGAGGGAGTTCATCCAGGAACATGGAAAAGGTGAGCGCACATGCTCTAAATGCATCGATGATGAAAGCTAACAATGATGGCAGATCCTGACGATATTTACGACGCTCCCAAGTTCTGAGCGAGAGCTACTTAATGGTAATAGATAATGGACGCACAAAGAACGTGAAGAATGACCGGACAGCCAGACAGACAAGCAGAAATATTTAATAGACAAAAAATGCAAAAAGAAAACGTCGGCCGACAGAGATGCGCGAGATGCCTCGTGGGTGAATCGAACACCCGATCTCCTCATTACTAGTGAGGCGCTATACCACTTAGCCAACAAGGCTTGAATCCTGGGGCCGAAACTGGATCTCATGTAGGCGAGCGGTGGGCAGAGCGAGAAAAGGTGGCGCTCGATGGCGGGTTATGGACAGTTGAGTGGACACAAGCTCTTGAGAAGTTTCATCACGACCTTTTCTTGATGCTGCGAAATGCATTTTGGGTTGTGGCAGCGTTTTTCTCTAGCGGTGTCAATCAGTTGGGCAGAGTTTGGCTGTGCAGGCCCATGCTGTGCCGCTCGGCAGTGCTCAGTAGTCCAGAGGCTCCAACTGCGACCGTGAGTTGACAGTGACGGTGGCGGGTCTTGAAATAAGACAAGTGAGATTGAAACTGGGCAAATACAGCTTTAATGTGTGTTGAATGAAAAGACTCAATAATCTTCTCATTATATGTCAAGTTGAGTGAGATGTCATCTTTCCAGGCAGCACTCACACCGAACCTCACTGAGTCCTCCCGTCTCACCGTGCCTCACATGGGCTAAGGCTTCCGCGGCAGTACCTCCTCCCTAACACGTCCCCCACAGACGCCGCCCAGTCACTCCCAGCTTTCCAGTTTAGCAGATACCGAGAAGGTATCCCTCCGCCCCACCCCCACCTCGAAATTTCCCCGTCGCAGAAAAAAAAAAAAACCACATCACGACGACCACCGAGATCCCCGCAGTGACAGACCGAACATCACAACCACCGCCAAGCGCCGCCCGCCGCAAGGAAGCGAAGCCCGTCTCTGTCTCTCCCCTTTCTCCTCCTCCCTTCCGGTCGCGCCCGCCCACGATGGTCTACTACTTCACCTCCACGGTCGTCGACCCCTCCGCCTTCATCTACGTCGGCAAGGACAAGTTTGAGAGTACGTCCGTCCCCCTTTTCGCGGCATGAGCTGGTCCACGACACCGCCACCGCCGGTAACAAAGACTGATGAGAGTCGCGTGCGTATAGATGAGGAGCTGATCAAGTACGGCTGGGAGGAGGACGTCTGGTAACTCCCCCCTTCACCCCCCTCTCATCTCACTCACTAACCACCACCAGGGTAACCACACCACACCTCATCCCCTCCTCTCACCCTCAACTAACCACCAACAGTTCCACGTCGACAAGCTCTCCTCCGCACACATCTACCTCCGCCTCCCGGACCCCTACCCCTCCGCCACCCCCGCCATGACCTGGGACGCCATCCCCGAGCCCCTCCTCACCGACCTCGCGCAGCTGACCAAGGCCAACTCCATCGAGGGCAACAAGAAGGACAACATCACCATCATCTACACGCCGTGGTCCAACCTCAAGAAGGACGGCTCCATGGCCGTCGGGCAGGTCTCCTTCAAGGACCCGCGGAAGGTGAAGCGCGTCCTCGTCGCGCAGCGCGAGAATCCCGTCGTCAACCGCCTCAACAAGACCAAGGTCGAGAAGAAGCCGGATCTGCAGCAGGAGCGCGAGGATCGGCTCAAGGAGCTGCGGAAGCGCGACCAGGCGGCGAGTCTTATCAGGAAGAAGGAGGAGGCGAGGGTGATGCAGGAGAGGAAGGAGAAGAAGTGGCAGAAGGACCATGCGTATGACGATATCTTCTCCGAGGAGAATATGGAGGGCTCGAGTAACCAGAATCGTTCTGAGGATTGGGAGGATGATTTCATGTGAGGACGGCGGGTAGATATTCCCGTTTCCGAATTCAATCAAGCCAGCATGTTTTGTTACCATGGGAGGATCGCGCGATACAAAGATTGACTCATCATGTGCTTCATTATGCTATGCTACCCGGCTACTAATCGAAACGAAAAGGGGTATTTCAAAAAACGACGCGCCCCGCAAGTCAGCTACACATGCCGATTCCAACGCGACTCCGACTCCGTCCGATGCCCATAGACTCCATCCGTCTTGAAAGTTCATGACTATCATCCGAAGCATACTTTTCGCCCTCATGCTGCTCCTTCTCCTTCTCTTGCTGCTGCCCCTTTTGCTTTTTGTTGCCGCTCTTCATGTCCCCGGGCGACTTCACCAACACCGGCGCGTCGTCGTCATCGTCCTCAACTTCGTCCAAGTCATCATCATTCCTCGGGTCTAAAAAAGGCGACGAGGAGGGTTCCTCCGTGTCGCCGCCATAATCTTCCTCCTCTTCCTCTCCATCGTCACGGAGCTTCACGACGGCTTCCCCACCCGGCAGACCGACCGTCCGCGCCTCGAGCGTCTCGGCAATGTCGAGGAGGAGGACGTCCATGGGGCATATGTACGCCACGCGTTTCCGTCCGCTCCACGCCAGCACGTGTCCGCACACCCTCCCGTGAGCGCGCTCGACGACCCACGCACCGCTGTCTCCGGGCACTCCCATGGCGAGCTTCTTGCTGCCGCCAGAGAGCTCCGCGGGCGTTGCGGAGGCCGCGCTACTGACTTGGTACGTGTGGCTCGGCGTGATGCGACCGGAGATCTTCACGCTGGTCAGGGCGGGCAGAATGAGGCCTGTTTGGAGGCCACTTGTGCGCGCCATGCACTGGACCTCCATGCCGGGGAGTGCCGACGTCGGCGCCACCGTTGTGGGGTGGAGGTCGAGGGCCTCGTGGGATGGGCGTTTCCCGGTCAGGAGTGACGACGGCCTCGTTCTGATCCTCGGGATGGTGTTCTCGTCAGGCTGTCGGTCGCCATTGAATTCGAAAAGAGCCCAGTCTATCTCGTGAATGAGCCCGTTTTGCTCCCTGCGTCGGAGACCGCTGGACGCATAGACCTCCCCGAGTGTAAAGCTGTCCAGGTGATCCTCGTCCGCCGTCTCCTCAGAGGCGTAGAAATCGTCCTCGACGTCGTCCCTAGCTGGTTGCGTAATGACATAACCGTCGCCGCAGCCCGGCTCAACGCCTGGGATGTCGCCGGGCTGGTCGAATTCCCCCTCCTCGTCGCTTTCGTCCTCGTCCGAGGCCTCGCTCGTGGCATCCGTCTCTGAGTACGCTTCCGATTCGGAGTCGGAGAATTCGCACGCAAAGTCCTCGCCACTACTGCTTTCAGCAGACGACTCCCCGTACCAGTCGAATCGAACATCGTCAGAAGGCCTCGCCATGCTTCGACGGGTTGGATCCTGGTCTTTGGCGTGCTTTGCGATTTCCACTGGATCATCCAGCATGTGGTGCACCGTCATTCCGTAGGGCTTGTCATCCACTACTACGAGACCGCCCAAGCTGACGGGCGGTAGATGTCGGTCGCCGACCCAAGCGCCGATGCTGGCGCCGTTGGTGGGACGGTCCTGAAAGTCGGGGTTGGCGGCTTTCACCTCGTCATCCTCCTCGTCGTCGTTGGCGGCACTTCGCTTCACTTCGTCCGACTCCTTCCGCGACCTCAGCACCTGTCCTTTAGACACCTTCAAGCCGAATCCGGACTTTCCATCAAAGAGCTGGCCAAGTTTGCGGGTGAGAATAGACTTAACCTTGCTCACCGAGGTGCACACGACCAGAACTGTCGGTTGCGTCTCCTTAGGCGAGCATCCGATGGACTCGAGTGAGATTTCGACCGACTCCTCGCTATGCTTGCGGTAGAAGTGGCGCAGCGCCTGGTTAACCTGGGGCATCACAATAGTGTTCCACTTCTCGATGGCGTCAGCTGGCAAGGGAATCTGGGGGTACAGTCGGGTCTTGGGCGACTTGGCAGGCTTGGAGTCGGCCGGCAGCTCTGCGGGCGCCGGTGTCGCGGCCGCCTCCTCAGCGTCTCTCTTTGCGAGCTGACGCTTCTCTTCCTCGGCTGATGGGTACGAGCGCGCGGGGCTCGGGTCGGGAATCGGGGCCTTGACGTCAGATGGGCGGCGCATCTCGGCTGGCGGGGGAACGGTCTTGGTGTCCTTGGATGGGCCGGAGATGCTTTGTCTCGGGGAGTCGGAGATGGGAGACACAATCTTTTCGCCAAGATCCAAGCTGAGACGGTCGTCGAGAGCGCTGACGCTATCGAGGATGCAGCATGCCTCGAGGTAGCGGCTCGCCTTGAACTGCACGATGGAGAGTAATTCCTCGCCAATGACCTTTCCTTGGAGCTCCTGGTCAACTGCACCCCAGCACGTCTGGACGGCCTTCATGTACTGAGTTCCACAGCGAATGGCAAGCTGCTCCAAGACTCTCTCCGGAATTGGTTGAGATGGGTCGGGTACGAGATTCTCAAGCTTCGTCCACAAACCGATAGACAACAAGATCATGGCGAGAGAGTACAGGTCGAGAATGCGGGAGTCGGTCTTGTCATTGATTGGTGATGCGGGAGTGGTCCTGGGGTCGAGAGGATGACGGAAAAGAGGAGCAGATGGTGATGATGGCTCTTGATCCGGGGGCGCATCGGGGAATAGATCAAAAGACGAGATCATGGGACGGCGTACATCCACCTCGCCAACGCCTGTCGTCAAGTCGGGCGTTGCCGTGTTGCAAAAGGAAACATTCTTGTCGATAAGGCTGCCGTGGGTGATGCCGCGAGCGTGTAAATCGAAAACGGTGTTGGCTAGATTGTGAGCGAGGCGGAACTTGGCCTCCAATGTGGGCTCAAACCCAGGGCGTGAGAGAAGATCGCCCAGCGTGCAAATGTTGTAAAGGGGTGTCTGTGTGAAGTTTTCGAATGAGACGGCATTGAAGCTCGGGGGGAAGTGGTAGACGAGGCCAAGCCGTGAGTGCTCCAAGTCCTCAAAGTAACCAAGCAGCCTCGGGAGACCAATCCAAGCGCCGGGTGCCCTCTGGGATTCCTGCTGCAAACCCGATGACAGCTTCTCAAACCGCGACATTGGAGGCATGATTCCCGTGACTGAGTAGATGGAGTCGAAAGCAGCGTACTCCAGGAGCAACGGCGCGAATGGTTGACGGCCAATATGCTGGGCCAGATCTGACCAGGCTTGCTTGGTCATGAAGACGATATCTCTCGGTGGTTGATTCGCTCTGGACTCGGTCATAGGCTCAGCCTGTGAAGAGCGGATATCCTGCAATGTTGAGGGGTCAATCTGCTGCGGTGTCTGAATGCGTGTCGACTCGAATTGCTTGTTCTCGTCGATGGCCGCCAGGGGCCGTTGGAGCCTTGAGCGAGAGCCGGAAGTCATTACCGCAGAGGCGCGGGTTCTGGAAAGATCGCACAGAGTGTCGATGGACTGAGTGAGTTCTGTGATGGCCTCGGCAAAGCGAGCCTTGTCCCAGACTACAAAGGGGGTCTTGAAATCACCCCTTGACTTTTCAGAAGCACCGCCGGTCTGCTTGTTGTAGGCCTTCCACAAAGCGTCCAGCTCGGCTAAGCTCTCGCCGACTGTGGACATGACGCTGTGGACGATTTCGCTGATGCCAGCCTTTGAAAGCGAGGTGTCAATCTCGGAAGACTGGTTCGGATCTGACCATTCCAAGCCCCAGCTCACGAAGCGGTCTTTTTGGATGCGCAGCCTGCGGAAGAGGATCTTGACCTCGGGGTCCTCGGCATGCTGGATGGGCTCCTTCACGAAGTCGGATGACTTTTTGGTGTCGTTATACAGACGGCTGAGGCGCCGCTGCATGGGCTGCTGGAAGCCGCCCTGGAAACCGATGCCCTCCATGATGGCTGTTGAAACGGGATGACGGGCAGCAAAGAGGGATGCCCCTCACGTGGGGCGGGGTGAGAGACTTGCGTCGATGAGGGGTGAGTGAGGGAGGGAGGTGAGAGTCTGCTGGATGAGATGAATATGCCTCTTCAGTGCCGCCTCGGATATGACATAATCAAGTCGATGCCACAATTGATGATGAGGCTGAAGTGGCCTTGGTGATGATGAGACGTCGAAGTCGGGGATCGGGACGGTGTGAAGAGTCGGATGCGGGTCGGCTGAGTCGCGCGCGGCGGGGTTACTTTTGTTGGCTGGCTACTGAGAGTGTGACTGCAACTGTGACTGAGTTGCTGCTGCTGCGACCGAGGGGTACGTATTTTGCGCGTAAAGTGATTACGCGGCGGGGATGCGATTCGGGTGAGGCTGAGCTGCGACTATTGCAACGACCTAAAATAACCGGCGCGTGTGTAAAGTGATTATTGGAATTATCTTATTGGAGCTCTTTTCGTCTCGTCAATTCCGTCGTAAATAGAAAATGGTCCAAGTCAATGGAGGATGTGAGAGAAGAGAAATGAAGAAGAGGTGGTGGTGGTGTCGAAGTTGAAATCGCGGGACCCTAGGAGGTGATGAATGACGGGAGCCAACAAGCAAGGCAGTCACCAGGCGTCTCCAGGTCTCCGGGAGCCGTCGCAGCGGGTAGCTAAGAAGGAATCAGATTATTTCGGTGCCTACGAGACGGATGGTCTTTTACCCTTTTCCCACGCGGGCTGAGAGCCGCAGGTTGCAGGTCCAAGATCCAAGGGCCAGGGAGTGACTGACTTGGGTGCTCCAGTACGGTACGAATACACTAGTACACCACCTAGGGAGTACAGGGTAAGGACTAGAGACGGCTCCGCCGCCAGAATGCACCGACAGGGACGAGAAGGAAGACCGGGCGGCCCAAGTGGCAGATTGTGGCTTCGATGGTGTCCGCAGAATGCGAGCGAGCGAGGTGTTGAGCGAGTGTTAATCCGAGTCTTTCGAGGTGCAGTGCAGCGCTGAAATGCTGCTGCCTGGAAGACAGACACTAGGAGGCGTGGATGCGCTGCCGCTGTCTGGGGAGGGACGCCTCTTGATTGGACTCGCTTAGCCTCGCCAAATGCTCTGGTTTCGGTCCCGGCCCGCATATTTGCTGCCGCTAGCTCCAAAACAAGGTGCTGATTGGCTTGTTGTAATTCTGGAGCCTGGAGGGTGGGTCCCTCGGGTCAACCACTCTGGGATGTTGCCATGTTCGCCCGGGTTGCCCGTGGCCAGTGCTTTCCTTTTGTGGGAGTCTTTGGAGACCTCACTCATCGTGTTGTTGGCAGGCACTGAGGAGCGTCTCTTGCCTCATTTCTCATCAAAAGTGAACCTGGTCTTGCTGAATTCTTCTTGGCCGTTATCGCCTCCAGCAGGCTCCTTCTTTCCATTATGGATACAGATACGGATACCTACTTAGGTAGGCAGGTAGACCCTGTATCCCTCACGTGCCTTGCTTGATATCTCGTTCTACGTATCCCGGCTAGCCAACAGCCACCGTCTGGGCAGCCAAATCATGAATGCCACTGAGCTATCCAGATTCCCATCTACACGACGCCATCAGTTCAGCTCATCTTTTTCCTTTCTAGTGATATTATGCACCCTCGGCTCTGCCCAATTACCATTCTCTCTTATATCAGCACCATCCACCACGATCGTGTCTGATACGAGATCAGCACGCCCATCTTCGTGAACCCCCAGATACCCACATTCGCGGTGCCCGACGTTGGCTTCCAGCAGTCATCGTCCCTGAGTAAGCTGAGGCTCTCCCTAGCGTCGATACCCTGGCTTGAGACTCCATCCCATTCGGCATGGCAACAGCAGACCGTCTGCTCGCTTCAAAGTACGGTGCATACATCCATAATCACGGAGACCATGTCCGCACTAGTAAATGGCATCACTTTCCGTCTCTGCTCCGCCTGGCTGCGGGCCGCCCACACTGACTGGCAACCTCCTCCAGATCTTGGCAGAGATCCCACAATACTCCAAAGTTCCTTTTCCCAAACACCCCCAGCGCAAATCCTCCCCCTACGCCATGATGCAGTAAGCACCATTCGACCCGAATTCCCCAGTCTGGATCCGCCCTCTGCCCTCTATTAATGGCAATCCGGCTGCTCAGATCTTTTGCATTTGGGACTTTGGAATTCCTCTTAAGGCACCACACAAAGTCCAAAACAAAACAAGGAGAGACACAGGCAGCCACAGCTGTGGTCCCCTCGGACTCTGTCGCAGAAAGCTCCAGTTATTGTGGCACTTCGGGCACGACCACATGGTGTCGTGCTCCTAGTGTCCTTTTTTATCTCGGTGCCTAAACACTAAACCTCACAGACTGGAGCCACCCACTTCGTCTCCGAGACACCTACACCACCGCACCGCGGCTCCTGGCATTCTTCATTTCTTCATTCAAGGAAAAAGAGCCCCATGGACATGGCAGGCTTCAAAGCAAGGTTTTATCCGCAAAAGCCCCCTCTCTGTCACCAGGGACAAGTGGTGGATCGCGCAATTTTGGTCTCAAGATTGCCAAGTTCTCTTGATAATCGCCCCTGACGGTGTAGAAATCTCCGTCGTACTGCCGTTTGAAGTAATCCCTTCAATACTGGGGCGCCGAACATTGCAGCCAGCTTCTACTTATGAAAAGAACTTTGGGTAACCTTGACTCTGAATAGAGGCAACTGACGGTGAGAGCGTCAGCACTCTGAGTCAAAATAACCCACCTCTTTTCCCTCTCCATCGTGAAACTCCTCGCAGGAAAGACATCACCCGGGTCTCGCAGTAATTCTGCTGCCTGCTCGGCCTCCAGAGACGGTAGCCACCTCTACGAGTCGTGATGCGAGCAGACGAATCAATCTGCTCATTTCGGCCCCTCATCAGACGCGATTAATGCCAAAGGTCCAAATCACATCATGCTTTGCAAAAACAAAGCCACAGCTGCAATTATTGATCCAATATGCCATCCCACATGCACCACCCTGAATTACTCATCCATCTGACGGACAATGTGGATCGATAGCTTCATCACGGTGGCCCCCTCACGATGGACCCCAGCTCGCGTTGATTGCCGGCGGATACAAAACACGATTCGAATTTTGCTTCGCTGACAGCACCGGATCACTGCTTCCCCGTAGCATACTCAACGAGGAGTTTCCTCCCAGATCCTCCCGCTTCTAATCCCGTCCTAGGAGCCGCTGCCTCGCGTGCTCTGAGTTGACAATATCGCTGCCTTGGATGGATTGGCGGTTGTGTCGCGTTCCCCTGATCAGGGATGGCGATAGTCACCACCTAGAACATCCCCTGCGATACCAGAAGCAGAAATACTGCCGCGGAAGGGGTCAAGCCACATCTCTGCTCGTGACTGCCGTAGACGCCTTCTTCGCAACATCATACTACCATCCTCGGGTTCGAACAAGGCGATCGTATTCGATGCCTGTGTCCCGGGGAAAGCCCCCGCAGACTAGGCGGCCGACAAAAAAACGGACCTCTTGTGACTACCGGTGGATTGATCACCGAACCCAGCCGAAAAGATACAGGTCGTATCTGCGGATACAGGCCACTGTATTGAGGTTTCGGGCCGATGCTGTCTTGTCCGAATCTGGACTCCACATCTCTCTCTCCTTGCAAGATGGCATGGCAGGAGACCGGATAAGCCTCCGTGTTAGGACTTCTGCCGGCCCCAAGGGAACAAGGTCTGTAAAGACCAAGATGATGCACGTAAGAATGGGTTAGGACCGGGAAAATTTCCCGTGAAGACTGCCACCGCCTTCTCTATCTTAGTCAGCTGTTTCTAGTGCTGGTGTCGGAAAAAAGGGGTGTGGAAATTCCGTGATCGTGACCGTGATCGTGGACCGTGGTCAATGTCGGTGGTACTCTGGTGTTTGTAGTGGGATTATGCGCACTAGGAGATCATCTATCACGAACTTGGAGTCTGCGAAGCAGAGTGTTACTATCATCAGAAAATAGTAAGAAAGCTGACTGGTCCTTTTATTTTTTTTTATTTTTTCTTTTTTTTGATTGATTTTCTTTTCCCCAGAGACGTTGCATAAATGCCTTGTTGTTACGGCTTCTTGAGGTGTTTAGACTTCAGGCGACTATAGCATCCAGCCTGCGAAACCAGTATTCTAGCCGAGTTACATCCTCCTGCCTAAGCCCATCTTCCTCCTCAACTCTTAATGTTATACCCAGTCTTTCGGCGCCTTGAATCTCCTCTTCAAGAAGTGGTCGGTCTTGGATGTCCTGAAAAACTTGCCCCATTCGGTCGATCCAATAAGTTTCAAAGAACGTCGCTAGAGTGCAACCCGTCGCGTCGATCTTGCTTTCGAACTCAACGAGTAAATTCTCGAGGAGCGCAAGCTCATTAGCATCCTCTTCCCTAATTTCTTTTACCTCGTCTTCTTCGCAAACCTTGTATATCCACTCGAAAAAGCCTTTGTGTTCCCAGAAGCAGCAGCAAGTATGACGGATTGGAAGAGCCATGAAAGTGCACACTCGCAGAATAATTGATCTCTCGTCTCGCGAGACTGCCCAGTCTCTTTCGAGAACTTCGCATAGGCCGATGATTTTGTCCCCCGTGTGTTTCAGTGACACTTGTGTTATTTGGTCAACTGACCAGTCTCCCAGCAACGCCCTCAACATCACTGAGTATGGGTGGCAGCCATCTTTTGAACAACCGCATTCGCATGCATCCAGAGACGCAGACTTGGAAACGTGACTTCTGAGTGACTTGAATAAGCCGGGGGAGTATTCGAAAGATGGCGGGAAAAAATGTAAGAAGTAATGGGGACAAAACAGCATATGCGCTGTGGTAAACTTGACAGGTCTACCGGGTATTGAGGTCGTCAGGTTTGCGCCATGCTCCACCAGCCATTCGTTGTAGGAAAATGTGTTGCCGGTAACACCTAAAGGAACTAAGCCGTGAGAATTTGGAACATCTATTTCCGTGAAACCTCGAGAATAGAATGCGTTTGGTATCTTATCTCTCATGACATTACCTATCCAATCAAGATGATATATGGATCCGGAGGCGTGTGAGTCTTTGCCAACCACTTCTGTGCACAGACTTGGGTGTACAAAAATTCCTTTGTCGTCAAGCGCCTTCAAAACGTCACCTGTGTATCTGTCAAGAATGTTGTTTCCGAGAAGACCAAAACAGCCAATTTCTTTCGGCTCCAAATGACGCAGTCCTAGTGCCTTCAGCTCCTGGCGCCGGGCCGCAAGCTCATCAATGACCATATGTCGTGCTTTGACAGATGATCCTCTCATTGCGAAATTCCAATCCTTTTTTCGGATTGTCCTGGCCAAACACTCGCTGTCAGTTTGCAAAAGAATGCTCACTGATTCTCCGCAGGGACACGTTTCCAAGCACTTGCCATCCCTTGAGCCGCTGCAGATAGCCCTACTCCACTGCAGAGCACATTCAAGAGCGGAGTCTGCTTCGCCTTCGTCGTGAGAATGAAGAATCGACTTGCCATTTCGACTTAAAACGATCCTCAATCCTTCAGGCCATCCAATGAGATGGTGAAATGATGAAAAGCCGAATGCGTCGGCTTCAGGCAAGTTCAGAAACGCTTGATTGTCCAAAGACTCCAGCAACTTCGACTTATTACGGAAAAGCATAGGTTCTAGGGGATGGCCGCAATATACTTTGAAATCTCAGCACTGGTTCTGTGACAATCTTCCGGGGAACGGGGGCGACTCAGTACCTTGGGCTGCAGTCATGGAATTCTTGATCCACATTTGATGAAGATTGATGATTTCCAATTGATGAAAGCGACGAGTTGTTGTAGATCTCACCATCGCAGAGGTGAAGCTATCGTCGTGAGGCCAGAGAGCGTCGAGTGTCTGGACCGTTCGTAGATCACTCTTACCCTCAATGTACCAACCTATTTGTGCATCTTGAAAAGCATATCTGGATGATATAAGCATATTGAACATGAAAGATCCCATCCGGGTGTGGGCGTATAACTCACTCATCATGTTCATTCGGACGGTCCCGTGGAACGCCAATTGTTAAAAGTAATTCGATAAGTTCGTGCCGGTGGTTTTTCCATATTCCCTTGTTTGCCTTGGATGCCGCATGCAGCAACGTGTCGCCGTTTGCATCGATTTCGAACGGCGAGGAGGTCCCAGACGAAAAAACTGTCTTCAGCGTGTGAACACCTCGCTCAAACATTTTGTTACCCTCCTCATTAGACGATTTACATCGTATCAGCATGAGGGCGCGCAATAAAATTTCTACAACCTGGAACGCAGGGCTGCTTTCGCGCATCGGAAAATATGTAAATGAAGGAGATATTCCAAATCCACCGGCCCCGGTAGGGATTGATAGCGAAAAGTCGACAGCTGCTGCGATCAATCCTCGAAACGCTCTGTGCGTGATACCAGCAGACCAGCTATTGGTTTCATGTATGTTAAAGGCAGCGAAAGGGCATCCAATGACATGGGCCCTCCTCGTGACTGCCTCTTTCGCAAAGGAAACGGCCCCGAACGATCGCTTCTGTCGTCGTAGGATACGCTGCGGGTTGCAAGTGCAGCGGAACTGTGACCGTATATCCGTCTCTTGGTAGACAGGCGCAGTTGTGGTAGTCTCTGACGAGACCAGAGAAGATCCATCCGTCCGGCTTATCGTTTCTAGGTTGGTCATGTTGTCGCAGATGGCCTTCAGTGCACTCGGTTTCGAAACCATGTTCTTCAGTGTTCCCGTGGCGCTTGAAGACATCAGATCAGCCATCAACGTCTTCAACTCCATCACATCTTGCTTGGTCGCATAATCTGGTAGACAAGCCAGTGAGGCGTTCTCGTCAACCTTTCTCTCGATTGAGAGCATGGTAACCTCGGATCTTGACACCGTCTGGAGAACTTGCTCGAAGGAGTTTTTCATCTCGAGTGACGCTTCACTAAATCGAGTGAGTACTTCGTCATCGGATCCATCATACAGATGCTTACAGTTCAAGTACTTGAAGTGCTGCCTGAAGGGCCTTGATGACGACGTCGAGCCGAGTGACGAGTCGATCCAAGCGATCCCTGCGAAAGGGGTACAGGAGCCTTTTCTTCTGAATCTTCATCATGGTCCCGGCGGATCTGTTGGTGCCGGTAGCGTCTTCGATTTGAATCTCGTCGAGGAATTCATCAAGCAGCAGCAACTCAGCTTTAGCTGATGCCATGGATTCCCGGAGCGGTGCAGAGCAAATGCCAGACGCCTGGTGCCGGTTGTGGAGTGCCTCGATCTGCGCGACGAGCGTTTCCAGTGATTTTTGATGACGAATGGTGGATTCTATCTCTTCTCTGCGGCATTGCAGGCCGTCGATGTAGACGTTGAGGCCTGAACACACCTGCAGTCCCAGAGAGACCACGCCCACGACTGTGCCCAGAACTTCCGCCATTGTATTTTGCGGCCGTTCGCAGGGCCTGTGAATGATTCTCGTGTGACAAATATGGCAGAAACATGCAGCGTGAGGGGAGAAAGAAGGATTTATCAGGAAAGAACGCAGAAAACGGCGAATCCATAAGAGTGCCCACCTTATTCCGGTCAAGATCAGGCTGACGAGTAGGCTTCGCGAACGTGTTCACGGGGCTTAGCCATGGGTAACACAGCCTACATGCATATGCAAAGGCGATGATTTCGCGTGCCAATCTTATAAACGAAGGCTCTCTATTGGCCTACGAACTTCCATTCCAGAACGCCTTGCCAAGTCGAGAACCCTCCAAAATGAGGCATCGCGTCGGAGAACGGCGGCGCGCATGCCGCTAGCTAAGCAGCGCTGCCGCAAGTGCAACCACTTGATAGTCAGAACAAGTTAATCAACTAAGTTAACGCGGTTATCACCACCTAAGTAAGAATATATATATGTCCCTTGATTAAACCGCCTAAATTTCCTGTTTTGCGCGGCTATATTTCCTGTGTACTTCATTACCCCTATCGAAGACAACAGTAGCAGCAGCGACGACGACGATAACGACTGCGACGACAGAAGCGATGAAGAAGGTGTTGAGGTAGAGCATAGCCACAGGAAAGGTAGTTGCTCTAGAACAGGAAAAATAAGCAGTCTCAAAAAAGGTGACGAGAATCACCGAGGCAAATGTGGGTGGACTGCTTGGTTGAAACGGATTTACTGCTAAGCGCCTTAGAACTCGAACTTGCGGAAGCATCGCAAGTACGCACGCGGCGTTCGGCTGTTACTACTCGAAGCGTCCATGGCAGACAGATCACGAAACACTTCACATGACAACTCACATCATCCAAGGGCTGAGTATGAAAACTCAAATATTTTGCTTGACCCATCCTGCACATGTACAGACATAACACATAACCATACAGAAAGCGGAAAAAACTTCAACAGAACTGGGCCAGCCGATCACTGTATTCCCAAAGAGACATGCCTATTTCCCAACTAAACGCCACCTCGATGCCCTCAGAACTCACCAGCGCTGCCCTGCTTTCCTCCCCTGCTGTAGACACGCTAACAAATAAGGACTCGGTTGCTCATCGACTCGGTATTATCGGGCTGGAAGAAACAATCTTGACGGCTTCTACTGGGGCTAGATAGACTGTGAACCTGGCGAGCAGGTGGAAATAGAAATCAAGACTTGTCGGCCCCGATGCTTTGAGGCGCGAGGGTATCTGGTACATAAAAGAGTGTGACGCTGCCGGCCGTGAGGACCTGCAGCAAGTACTTCGTGTGCTATTACTCATGCAATCGTGTTTTTCGTAGTAGGGTGAGCCGAGGCTTTACAACTCATCACGGACGTGCTGAACGGTCTCCTTGACGGCATCCGTAACAGCTGAAGCGGCAGAGGAAAGAGTAGCAGAGGCCGCGCTGGCGAAGCTGACAGCCTGGGCAGCCTGGGTGGCGTACGCAGCTTGCAAGCGCGCGAGAACGCTCTCCGAGAAGGTGGGCTCCTTGCCAACGAGCAACTCAGAGATGAGCTTGTTGACGTCCTCGTATTGCTTAGCAACTGCGGCAGTAGCCTGAGCGGCGTACTCTCCGGCACCGCTGTAGACGTTGTCGTACCAGGCAGTCGGCGTGGGTTTGCCGTAGATCTGGATGCTGACTTGGCTGACGACGGCTTCCCAGGAATCTGTGACGCCCTTCTCAATCGCCTGCGCAGCATCCACAACTTCCTGGATGCCTGCAGAAACAGAGTCACTGACGATGGACGCCGCAGCTCCAAACCCGTCGCTAACAGCTGAGGCCACGGCGATGGCTTCCTTCTGGGCGCCAGATGCAACAGCGTCGGCCGAGCGAGTAGCAACGGATGCGACAGACGAGGCAGTGCCGGCAACATCGGTAGGTGTACCAGTAGGAGTGGCGTGGCTCAGAGCAGACCCGGCCGCAGCCAAGAACTCGGAGTATCGAGCATGCGCAACGCCGAGGCCGGCGTAGTAGTTGTACTTGGCTTGCTCAAGGAGTTTCTCGACAGTTGAGGTGGGGGTCGCGGTAGCGAGGCCGAGCGCAATCTTGGCACTCTCGTACTGTTGCTCAGCCCAAAGGCGTCCCTCGTTCAGGCGCTGAGAGGCAAGGGCCTCAACGCTAGCCCAGTCGTACGAAGGAGTGACCTTGGCGGTAGGAGTTCCGTAGATGCCCTTCGACGCGGCCTTGACGGCCTCATCAAAGCGAGAGCTGGCAGATGCCATGGCAGCAGCGTAAACACCAGAGGCCGAGGAAAGGACCTTCTCTTGTGCAGGCTTGGGAGTCCCGTAGATCTTGGCGGATACAGCGGCCTTGGCGGAGGAGTACTGCTCAGAAGCCTGAGAGACGGCGTTGGAGTAGGCCTCCTGAGCCCGAGAAGAGATGCTCTCAGCATCCACATCCTCATCCAGGATGGGGCCCTTGCTTGAAACAGACTGGGCCATGGCACCGAGGAAAGCAGGCTTGACTGATTCGGTCTCGGCGGTGACGGGCTTGTCCTCGACAGATTCGGGGATAATCTCCTCGAGCTTCTTTCCCGGAACTGCCTCGTCTTCGTCGCCAGCAGACGACATACCGGAGCCGTCGACGATGATGGTTTGGTCCTCGCCCGGGAGCACAGTGGAAGCAAGATCGGGGTGAGACTCAGTGCTGGACGAGCTGGAGGCTACGACACTGGATGCCTCACTGGAGACCTCGCTGGCAGCGCTGCTGATGGACTCGGATGCGGCAGATGTGGCACTGCTGATACTCTCGCTGACTTCGCTGGCGGCACTGCTGACGGAGCTGGCCGCACCACCGGAACCGAGGTCACTGGCGGGGGATTCGTCCTCAATCACACTGGCGGCAGACTCGAGGGGGTCCTCTTCAGGGGCCGACGTAGCAGAAGATGCGGCAGCGGCGGCCTCTCCAGCACGGCGCTCTGCCTCCTCGGCAGCAAGACGGGTGGCCTCGCTGTCGAAGTTGTCGGACGTGTCACGAGCGGCGAGCTTCCAGAGACCGACCTGCTTCAGCCTAGCAAGTTCCTGGGCGGCAGACTGAGCGACCGCCATGCCAGAGTCTTCAACCTCATTGGATGCCTCACGAGCTTCCTCGAGGCCAGGGTGAGAGATGATCAGCTTCTTCAAGTCACTCATCCAGTCGGCAAAGCGGTCCTTCAACTCGTGAAACTTGGCCCAGTCCTTGTAGGTGATGCCGTCCATCCACGCCCACTTCATTCCAATCTTCTGGAGTGCCAGATCTCTAATGCTGTCGAGAATCTTGAAATGGCTGTCGGCGGCTTCGGTGACAGCGGCCTCGATCTCAGCCTCGTAATCGACCTTCCACGAGCGGATCTTTTGGGCCTTCTCCTTGATAGCAAGTCCGGCCTTTCGTACGGCAACGGCCAGGTCGTCTTGGGCCGCTACAGGCGCGTCAACGGACTTGTGGACGATCTTGATAATTTGCTTTTGCAGAGTAGCAACCTCGGCCTTTGCGGCCTCCTGTAGCTCGGTGACAAGTGCCTTGCCCTTGATGTGCGCGTTCTCCTTGATGGCGCGCTGGGAAATCGCCTCAACCTGATCTTCGAGTTCTCTGGCGCCCTCATCGGCGGCCTTGGCGAACTTGTCCTGCCAGCTGCGGAGGTCCTCCTCAACGGTCTCACGGGCGGTCTTGCGGATGTCGGACTCGCCCTCAGAAGCGGGAGGTGCAACAACCTGCTGGGCCTTGTCTTCGGCAGCCTTCACGACTTCCTCTGCTACCTGGGATGCATCAGGGATTGGTGTGCTCTCGACCTTGGTGGAGATCTTCTGGCTGGCAACCGAGGATGCCGAGGACGCGGATGACGAGGCGGAAGAGATGGGCTTCGTGAAAGAGGAAGCCTGGGGGGTGGCACTGGTAATTGGTCAGCATTTCCCGATGCATCTCTCCGTGTGCTTCCGATTCTTACCTCTCAGAGACATTCTCGAGCGACCCCTTGGTCTTGTTCTTATAGCGACCAAGACGCTGTCCGATCCTAGCCAGCTGGGGCTCGACGTTCTCAACGTACAGCACGCGGACCTGGGGCCAAACGGTGGCGTCGAGGAAGAGATAGGTCTTGTTCCATGCCCAGTAGGCAGTGGGGATTGCGGTCTCGGTGGTGAACTGGGACGCCACATCGTAACCCTGGGCAGCGTACGGCTCGGCGAACTTGTACGAGGGGAGAAGAACATCGTGGTAGGTCTGCAGGGCGTTGGTGCGCGCAATGTCGTAGTACGGCCCTACGGCAGCGGACGCCTTGGCGACATGAGGAGCGATGGTCTGGTCGTACTTATCCTGGGCCTGCTTCTGGTAGACAGCCAGCTGGGGCTGGATGTTCTTGTCCCACTGGGCCTGTCCGTAGGCCTGGGCCTGCAGGACGCGGGGAGCACCATGCTTGGAGATATAGGCCTTGGCTGGGACGAGGGCGCGCTCGTTCGCGATGTTGTAGTAGGGAGTCGCCTTCTCGATGTAGGGAGCGGCGTAGGTCTCGTAGTAGGGCTCGAGGTGGGGAGATACGGCGTGTTTCAGTTGGAAGTAAGGCTTGCAAATCTTGGGGGACGTCTCGTCACAGGCGTCGGGAGTCGCGGGGCAGCGGAAGAGGATTGAGATGATGGAATACCAAGTCAGGATCCTATCGCAGGCAAGAGTCAGTTGAGGATTGAGGCTCTGGCAATGCTCCATCCAGCTGCAGGATCACCATGACGGGACAAATGCACAAACAAATGCACGAGGTGGCCTACATACCTGGCAGCAATGCTGAAAGAGCGACCGATAAAGGTCTTGCCCTGCTTTGGGGGAGTTCTCCTCTTGACAACAGCGTGACCATTCATCTTGCCGTTTATCTTGCCATTCGGGGCTTTGGGAAAGCCGTTGGAGTAGCTGGAAGCCTCCATGGTGGAGGAAGTGTGGTCTGGAAAACCAGGCGGCTCGCACGGGCTCGGGGGCACAGGCGCAGGCGTGACGTGATCCGAATTTGCGACTCGTGCTTTTGCTTTGGGTCTGCAGCTGGGAGGCAGTCAGAGGCACGCGTCTGGGTTGGTGCAGTCCTCAAAGCTGCATGAGAAAACAGAAGGTTAGCAGATGTTTGGAAGAGAGGAAATTTCGGGGTCAGGATGAAGTTGAGGGTGAGGATAAGGTCGAGGCAAGGGGAAGAAAAAAAAGAAGGGAAAAAAAGATAAGGCCCGGTTGTGCCGTGACAGGAGCTCTGACGATTTTCAGATGTCCCCCCAGTCCTCAGTCCTTCGCCATGGGCTAGACTCAGAATAAGATGACGGGAGCTTGCACTTCGCCTCCTGGGCAGCCAGGAGCTCCGTTTGCTGAAGCTGCAGGGGTTGCCTCTGTCGCTGGACCACGGGCAGAGCCACTCGACTCGGGGAAGGGAACCTAAGGGTCTGTTTGGGAGGGGTTCTTGGGGGGGCTCTTGGAGTTCAGAGGCTGGATTGTGGAGCTAGGAGCTCATGATCTACCTTCAGAATGGCGATAGTTTTGCTTCAGGACGCCAGGAACGGACGGCGGACGGAGAACGGCAGCGGGGGGCCTGCTTGTGGTGGTTTGCGGAAAGAAAACACGAGAAACTCTCAGTGATCTGGTGATGAAGAGGGAAGAAAACACGAAAAGTGCAGACCGTAATGCAGAGAAAGGTGTCTGTAGCTTCCTGTTGTTGCACCTTGTCTTCTTCCTTCCCTCCTTCTGCCTTAGCTCCTGCTGTTGACCTCACTCACCTTCCCCAGGCGCGCCTCCTTCCCATTTTTCTGGGCCAAGTTTCCCGGCTTTTCTGCCTGCTGCCGCCCCCAGCATCACAGCTCCCCAAAGTGACACACGGACCATTCGGAAGTAGTTGCTTGGTGTTGGGCCAGTATGAACGGTACATCCTGGCGACTGGCTTACATAAGTGAGACGTTGCGCTTTAGCGCCCTCCTTAGCCTGCTGGGCCGTCTGAGCAGCGCTGAACGACAATGTCTCACCAACGTCATCGGCTTCAAACTTGTCTGTCCCTCGCTCTGCCATCCCACCATCCACCATCAACCATCCCACCATCCAGCCATGCTCGACCAACCACGCATCGCCATCGAGATCAGTTATGTCTGTATCACTCTCGGATTGACGCGTGCCCCCGTCCGTCTCTCGCACTCGTCCAGTCCGCTCCTTCGTTCATGATGCAAGTCGCCAGCGCTCTCCCGGCCACCGCCCTCACTTCCATGCGCGTTGCCATCCATCCCATGTCGTCGCAATATCTCCGCATCGACCGAGACCGTTCAACCCTGTTGAGGGAGGCACGGACGGGCCTGGATGATTGGCAGAATGGCCAGGAAACGAGCCACAAGCTCCCCGAAACACTCAACCTGCTCGGACGAGGGGTCCAGCCAAGTGGGCCTCGACGACGTCCTAGTGATGCAGCATTGCATCGTTTGGCATGCAAGTGTGGCTCACCAGCAAACCAGCTAGCTGGACCTCGGGGCATGCAGCCGACGCCATGCTTGTGGTCTTCTTGGTCGGCATGAACATCTGGACCGGCCCATGTGATGACGATACCTATTGCTTTTGTTGATGTTGGCCCCTGGATGTCTGCCGATAGGAGCATGGCCAAAGCATGTTGCTGACGCACTGAGGAGCGACAAAATCGGATTAACAATCTTCAATGCTTCTTGTGCTCGTGCTTGAAGCAGGATGGCATGACGGGAGCTGGGCTTGACATGTGCACCGCCTGTCAAACCAGTAGCTAACCGTTGTGAGCTCTGCACTCTGACTGCATCTCAATGACAGAGTCAACTTGGCCCTTAATACATTCATTACCATCGTGGACGATGCCTCTTGAAGATCAAGCACATCCGCCATGTGTTCATAGAAGCGATTGCCAGCTGGGTGGAGCTGCCAGCAAGCTCCTGCAGGCGCCCGCCACCTGGTTGGTAAACCACGCTAACAATGGATGTTTGTAGCTAACAACAGTAACGGCCCTCAAGCGTTGTTAAGATGATTGAATGTCTCTTAAGCCAGGAGGAATACCTAATTCAAGAACGATGGCTCAAAGTGAATGGCCTCCTTGCATGATGCCGCAAAGAAACTATCCTGAGTGCAACAAGCCTAGGTGTAACTCATGCTGAATGCAATCCTCAAAAGCAGTAGACGTAGAATTCCTGGCGAAAGAGTGGCAATGAGAAAAAGTACGGTTTGTCCCGGTAAAAATTTAAAATATCATACACTCTTTCGAGGTCAATACATGGGGATGGACAGACCATTAGCTCGACGTTGCGAGTGGTAGATAGAGAACAGTTACAAGCAAGTACACCTCCAGCTCGACTGTCACGTGCTGCTCGCCAAGCGTGGTACCGGAGCGGAGCTTCCTTACCTCCGAACCCTGAAGTGGGGCCATTTCAATTCCACCATTGCCCCGGACCCCTGTTCGGGCCGTGCTGATGGGAGTCGGCACCTCAGTGAATGCGCCCAGTGAGAGGTCCTGTCACAGCTGAGGAAGGCACGAGGTGGACCCGCCAGCAAGGGCCTTTTGCACCGAGTGTGAAATCCAAACACAGTGCCACTTGCTGGACCTGGCCCCGAACTTAGACCTGAACCTTCGACCCTCATTGTCTCTAGCGCAAAGGATCTATCTCGGTTGCTTAATTCCATCCGCTGCCACCACGACTACCACCTACTTGGGTATTCGGGATAGGCTTCCTTTTTTGAGAGAGGTTTAGCTTGACGATTTCATGATACCCATTTTTCCGTCTTCATTACTTTACGACTAGACGAGCTTGTCCTCCCACTACCTAGGGTAGCTCGACATACCGCTACCTGTTCAAATCCATCCCATCGTCCAACGAGTTCCGCTTCAATTCCGTCACCACCGAAAAGCCTTTACGTGTCCACCCTCGTTCCCGACTCGATTCGCCGCCCTCGACGATTCACCGGCGTTCGCTCGAGACACACGGTCGGGCCAGAGATACCCATGCGTTCCTAACGATCCTGTCTCTCTCTCCAGGGCTCCAGTCCCCGCCGCTGTCGACGACAATCCGATCGATATGGAAGACCCCGCGATGGAGCCTCTTATGGCTGCCGATGCCGTCGCCCACTCCCGCCGCCGCTTCTCGGCCTCAAAGTCCTCCTCCAACATCTTCGACAATGTCAAACCCCGCCCCCAGACCAGCGATGCCGGCGCACTCGATCCCGATACCTGCCGTATATGCAGAGGCGAAGCGACCGCCGAGGAGCCGTTGTTCTACCCGTGCAAATGCAGCGGCAGCATCAAGTTCGTCCACCAGGACTGTCTGATGGAGTGGCTGTCGCATTCTCAAAAGAAGCACTGCGAGCTCTGCAAGACGCCCTTCCGCTTCACGAAGCTCTACTCGCCCAAGATGCCCAAGACCCTACCAGCCCACGTCTTCGTCGGCCACATGGCCAAGTACCTCTTCAGGAACGTCCTGGTCTGGCTGCGAGCTGCCCTGGTCATTAGTGTCTGGCTCTGCTGGTTGCCTTACCTCATGCGCTCCGTCTGGGCGTTTCTCTTCTGGGTCAGCGACGAGGGATTGGGAAGCGGCGCTTTGTGGAATAGCTCGAATGCAACCGTTAGCAAAGGTGTATCCGTAGCCTTCTCCGTCGCTTCATCCAACGTTTGCCCGGCATCGCCCCTCCTCGAACCCACGACAACACCCGCAAACCTGGGAGGAATGCTGAAAGATATGATTCAGGGTCAGGAACTGCCTTTCAGCCGCTCCTTCCACGGCGTCAACATTACTACCAACGATTCCGTCTCGGCTGCCCTGCTCAGAATGCTACTTGGGTCCATCACCTCCTCGGGATCTGGAAACTCGACCTCTGCGGCGGCCGGGGGTAGCGATCCCGTCTTGGACCGCCATCCGTCACTCTTGAGCGGTGTTGGCTGGTTGCGCAACCTGACCCGGTACCCGGTCGTCAACAGAACCGTCATCGGTGTGCTGGAAGGCCAGATCATCACCATTCTGGTCATCATCTCCTTCATTTTGGTTATTCTTGTGCGCGACTACGTCGTGCAGCAACAGCCAGAGATCAACATGAGAGCCGCCTTCGCAGCTAATGAGAACCAGCAGGCGCAAGCCCCGCATCAGCATGAAGAGCATCAACATGAACATGAACATGATCATGGCCATGACCATGCCCATCTTGAACACGACGCTGGAGACTTCGACTTCGACCAACATGACCATCATGAGAGTGACGACGACGATTTTGGCTCAATGACCGGGGCTCACTACGGATCAGAGGATGAAATGCCTCCTATGACATGGGAAGAGCAGGAGCCGGATGGAGAGCCTGCAGAGCCAGCACCACCACGATCTTTGGGAGGATTTCGCCCTCGTGCATATGACAGCGCTGAGCCTGATTTCAACTTCAACACGCCGCCCCAGGCTACCCCAAACAAGGACTCGCAGACGCCCGTCGCTACTGTCCATGAGTATCTGCGGATTTACCGGCAAGCAGGCGGCGATCCGGAAAAGATTCTGAAAATCATTGAAGAAGAGGACCTTGATGACACTCTTGGTTACTGGGCTAGGATTACGCGATCCATGATTGACAAGAACAACAAGGATGCTGGCGCAGGCCAGTCAAAGAACGAAGCTGGATCAGACGGACCCTCGAATCCCAAAGAAACACAGGCATCTCCGCAGCCCCCAGTTCAATTGCCCGCGCCGTCGACGCCTCAATTTTCCTGGCCGCCTAATCCCCCAGCTGAGAGCAGCACGAACGGAGATGCCAAGGGAAAAGGAAAGGAGGTTCAGGAAGATACTCAGCAGTTCCGCTTCGGCGACGAAGCGAACACCGCACGTTCAACTTCTTTCCAGAGCCCTCTACGACCCCGAGCTGTCTCCGACGGCCCCCAGCGCAATGAGACTATCAACCCGCTTGCCAATAACAGTTGGTCCTTTTCAAACATCAACACGGAAACGCCGGCCCAGCCGCAGGAGCCATTACCCATTCCCCGCGCGGCGCCTCAACCTCGCCAGTACGACTTCTTGGGATCTGCAACTCCGCCCCTGAGCACCTCGGCTGAATATGGCTCTGATAAGGACACTGGCTTCGAGCGCATTCACACTCCTCAGGACAACGCTTCTTTCGAGGGCCCCGAGCTTGGACCGCAGACGGCAGACTTTATCGGACCTCAACAAGACAGTGGAGTTGTTGAAGACATTGTCGATGCTCATGGCGAGATCCAAGAAACCGAGGACGGCCGGGTTCCCCAGCGCCCGCCGCTGCAGCGAGGCGTCATGGATCGCGTTGCTGATTTCATGTGGGGTGACATTGAGCCCCGAGAGTTAGACATTGGTCGGGAGGGAGATGAGGCTGCTCATGAGCATGGCGACGACACCGACGAAGATGACTTTGACGACCTGGATGACGACGATGATGACGCAGTGGAGCAAGACCGCGAGGTTGTTGAAGCTGCCGTTGCCGCTGGACTGGATCCCGAAGCAATTGATGACGCTGAGGATTTCGAAGGTATCATGGAGTTAATCGGCATGCGAGGTCCTATCGCTGGGCTATTTCAAAACGCCATCTTCTGCGTCGTTCTTGTTTCAGTCACCATCTTTGTCTGCGTTTTCCTGCCTTACAACTTGGGCCGAGTCAGCGTGTGGGCAGCCATGAACCCGATGCGCCTGGTCCGTATGCTGTTCAGCTTGACGAAGTTCATCCAAGATCTCGCTGTTGGTATCATGACTGGCATCTCTAGCTTGGTTCTCTTCTTCGTCTACACCACTGGCAGAATGATGGGTTTCCCGGCTAATAACGGCGTCGGTGCGCTGTCCATGAAGACCTTTAACTTGTTTACCAGCGCGTCCATGCGAGTCCTGGAAAGCATTACCGGCGAACTGCCTCTCATCTCGACCACCGAAATGCAAAATTTCTCCGCCATCAGCCACGAAGCGCTGTTGAATCTCAAGGCGTGCCTTTCCGGTTCTCTGGCTGCTGTTGGGGATGTGCTCAACTCGATTTTCGACCGCGACCTGATCACAAATGCGAAGTACATGGGATCACTTTCGGCCAACGCCACCATGTATGCTTGGAATGCTGCGCAAGACCTCCCCATCAGCATTCTAAACCCTGGATCATGGGTGATCAGCTTCAGCGTGCCCGAGCTTTCTACCTCCGTTAACCCTGCCCTCTCGTACTGGTCAGGAACCGACCGCTTCTGGGCCATTCTATGCGGTTACTTTACGTTCTCGGCTATCAGCGCTCTCTATCTGCGGAGAGGTTCACCATTCTCCACCGGGCAGACAGGACAAGAATGGGAAGCGTCGTTGATCGACCTGTTGAACCAGGCCAGCGGCGTGATGAAGGTCATTCTCATAATCAGCATTGAGATGCTTATTTTCCCGCTGTACTGTGGCCTCTTGCTGGATGTCGCATTACTCCCGCTCTTTGAGGATACCACTTTGAAATCTCGTGTCGCCTTCACGATAAACTACCCGCTCACCTCCATCTTCGTCCACTGGTTCGTAGGCACAGGGTACATGTTCCACTTTGCGCTGTTCGTCTCTATGTGCCGCAAGATCATGCGTAAAGGTGTCCTTTGTAAGTTGTCCTTCGTGCGCTTGGCTTGGCTGTTGCTAACATTCATAGACTTCATCCGCGACCCAGATGACCCTGAGTTTCACCCCGTACGCGACGTTCTGGAACGCAACGTCATGACGCAGCTGCGAAAGATTCTGTTTTCCGCATTTGTGTACGGAGCCTTGGTCATTGTTTGCCTTGGTGGAGTGGTCTGGGGCTTGTCCCTTACGCTCCCCAACGTTTTGCCGATCCACTACTCGTCGAATGAACCGGTACTCGAGTTCCCCATCGATCTGCTCTTCTACAACTTTGCTATGCCCTTGGCTGTCAAGTTCTTCAAACCTAGCGACGGCCTGCACGCCATGTATACCTGGTGGTTCCGCAAATGCGCCAGAGGTCTCCGCCTGACCTGGTTCCTCTTTGGCGAACGACGCATTGATGAGGAAGGTATTCTAGCTCTGCGACCTGGTTCGGAGCACGACGCTCTGCCGTGGTGGAGGCGCCTGTTTCTCGAAGTCAACAAGCAGAACAAGGTCGTGCCGAAGACTTGGGAGGACACTTTTGAGGGCGGCACAGCCAAGCCGGTGTCGTCCATCGCAAATGACCAGATGATGATTCTGACCCTGAAGAAGGCTCGCCTTGTGGACTCTGGCCAGCTGATCGAGGACGGCTGCTTCGTGCGCACGCCCGCATCTGACCAGGTAAAGATTCCGAAGGGAAGACGCGTATTCATGCCAGTTACTGAAGCCAACACTCGGCTGGACGGCAAAGATGACTCTCCCGACACCGATCTGTACTCTACGGACCAGTACCAGCCGGTGTACATCCCCCCGCATTTCCGAGTCCGAGTCTTCCTATTCATCATGTTCATCTGGATCTTCGCTGCCGTTACGGGTGTTAGCTTCACAATCGTCCCCCTCGTATTTGGCCGCAAGATGTTCAAGGTCCTTATTCCCGCACACATCAGGACCAACGACATCTACGCTTTCAGCATTGGCATCTACATCCTTGGTTCGGTGGCCTACTTCTTGTTCCATGCCAGATCCCTCTTTAAGAGAATGACGGCTTGGGCTTCAAACGCATTACAGACCGTATGGCATAGCGATGCTCCGATGAGGTTTGCGCTTGTCGGAATCCAGGCCGCCAAACTTGTCTACACATACACCGTTCTTCTAGTCGTTTTCCCGCTGATCCTCACCGCCCTCATGGAGCTATACTGCCTTATCCCTCTCCATACTTACATGTATCCTCCTACCCCCTATGTCGTTGAGGCGAACAGTGGGGGCCAGTTCAAGGATGGGATCGTCGTGCCGAACCATCATACTGCGAGAGTTATTCAGTCTTGGACACTAGGTCTGTTGTACGTCAAGCTTGGCGCTCGCGCCATTACAAGTCTCTACGAGGGTACGCGCATGGCCCAGGCCGTTCGTGCCGTCCTTCGCCGCGGCTGGCTTCAGCCTGACGTGCTCATCCTCACCCGGGCGTTTGTCGTTCCCGGGGTCCTCGTCGGCGGCCTAGCCATCTTTGGACCTCCATACGCCGTTGGCTGGATGCAGTCCCACGGCGCACTCGGAACGCCTCTCCCGGCCCCTCACGAACTCAAGGTGTTCTACAGACTGTCCTACCCCGCCGCGGCATTCAGCGCCCTGGCTTTGATGGCATTCTGGAGTGTCGTTGGCGTGTTCAACAATTGGAAGGCACGTATCAGAGATGAGGCGTATCTTATCGGGGAGAGACTGCATAACTTTGGAGTCGGTGCTGCCGGAGCGGCAGGCGCCCGCGGGCCTTGGAGAGTCAGGGGCAGGTTGTGATGATGCGGCTTGCTTCTAGACGGGCTTAATTGGCCCGAGCATGAATATAGATGATAACATTGGGTCTCGGCGAATGGCGTCATTGCTTGTACGCTGTACTGTAAGTAGGGCGTGTGCCTTATATTAAACTACTCCGTTCATACAACTGTCGCAGTGGAACCGGTGACTTGTGATGGTGCTGCCATGGCTCTCAACTCATAAGCATATTTTGCAATGCCACACTTGAAGAAGAGAAATACTTGATTGCTTGTCCTTGCTCATTGCAGTCTAACATGATACCTCAACCGGCCGCGCATCTTTGTCATGCTTCACAGTAACCAGTGCTTGCCATCTCATATCATACACATTCCCCCTTCCACCACATCTGCAGCACACCCACTTAGAAGAACAAGGCTGCACCGCCAACAGCAGCAACCAACGAGACCAACAGGCTTGCCCCCGCGCCCGCGCCGAGCAGGCCGGCAGTCGCGCCCGGTGCGGCGTTGGGCGTGCTCGAGCTCGAGGCGGCGGCGCTTCCGGATGCCGAGGCGGAGGGCGACGTGCTGCTTGACGCGCCGCCGCCGTTGACTAGGGCCGTGAGGGAGGGATCGGAGGAGAAGTCGACGGTGATGGAGGCGTTTTTGCAGTCGGAGTTTGTGGGGGCGGTGCCTGTGACGAAGTTTACGGCGGCGCACTGCGCAATTTAGGTCAGCGACTGCGTATTCTCTCTCTCCGTCTTCAATTGGAGGAGGGATCGTTGGGATGGAAGACTTACAGAGTAGAGCAGCCCGTCAGGGGAATGCGCAACAACACCAAGCACACCCTTCTTGCCGGCGTACTCGGCGGGGACGGCGATCTGCGGTTCGCAGAAGTTGCCGACGCCGGTCTGCAGGACGATGGGGAAGACCTGGGTCCAGTTGCCGGACGCGGTCTGGTCGAGGGTGGCGCGGAAGAGCCATTTTGTTTGGGGGTGGCCGTTGGACATGCCGACGGCGTCGCCGGCGACGTGGAAGTCGGTGGTCGCGGAGGAAGAGGAGGCGGAGTAGCCGCCGCAGGGGCCGGTGCCTTGGTTGTCGTCGCTGTCGCCGAGGGGCTTGGGGAGGGTGAGGGAGAAGTGGGCGAGGGCGGGGGTGGAGAGCAGGAGGAGGGGGAGGAGGCGGGTCATTTTGGCGGTTGGTGATGGGTTTCTTGGTGGTGAGTGTTTGGTTGTTTGGTTTGTGAAGGTGAGGGAGGTGAGTGTGAGCAGCCGGGAGAGAGGTAGGTGAAGGAAGGTTTGGTGATGGGGTGAGAAGCTTTAAGAGGGAGGTCGAGTGAGTGGTCAATGGCTGGGAGGAATAACTACCCGAGCAACGGCTCTCATAAGGCTAGCTTGGCCCGCTAGAATAGGTTTAGGTGTAGGATGTGGAAGCTCTTGAGCTTCTCGTTTCTCTGTATGACATGGGGTTGTTTCCGTGTCACTGGCAAGCTAAGCAAGATGTCTATCCCGCGGGGCAAATATTGCCGAGTTGGAGCCGCGACGGCAAACTACCTACTTCACCTAGCACACGCATGCCGACGTCAAGGCAAACCAGCCATGCTTCTAGTGGCCCGCTCTATATCCGTTCAACTGACAGCTGGTCACGATGCCACAGCAGAGAGAAAACGACGACCTCGCTGTTTTCGGGACTCGGCATGAGCAGAAGCAAGACTTGGCTTAGCTTGGAAGGTGTTCTGAGTAGCTTGTTCATTACATGCGTTGGCGTGGAGGCGACTGAGGAGTGCAGAGGCATGGTGAGAGAAACTTGCTCACTGCGGTCCAGATTCTCAAATACGCTAGCTTTTGAGCCTTTTATGGTTGCATGGCGCCGGACCCCTGAAGATGCAGGCACCGGGCAAATGTCCATCGCCCCAAAGTGTTCGGGGGACTCTTGAATTTCGGAATCTGGAGAACCGATGAGGCTCTTGAAGACAACAATTTCCCCTCCAAATAAGCATGTTTTTTTTCTGCTTCATCTCGAGTTCCACCACGAGAGGGGGGACCCTTCAAACGTAGGGGGGATAACGACATCAGGAAGGTTGTTGTGGTTCGGGTTTTGCTGGACGAGGATGTTGGTTTAACCTTGGTCGGGTTAGCTTCAGATGCGAGCAGGGGCTCCGTTGGCTTCGGGGGCGGGAGAGTGGCCAATCACAGACACGGGATTTGGATGTCACTGAGAGGTTTTGAGCAAATTGTGGCGTTTGCGCGAGTTTGATCTGGGAGACCCCTGTCTTCTTGTTTGAATAAGGCTCGAGGGCGGTGCATCTCAGTCATCTCTCGTGAGCATGTTGTCTGTGGAATGATCGCTAGAGGGGATCTTTTGCCTGGTCTGGAAAGACATGTGTGAAATGGTATTGAAGAATTAGAAAAGGATGGAAAGAGAGTCACATGAGGAGCAAGAGGTGAATACCCGATGAGTGTGTGTTGTTGTGTGGCCGTGTTTTGGTGTAAGTGTCACAAGGTGACAGGACACACCATCGAGCCAACCGTTCGCCCCGAGTCAAGGGGACAGGGCTCGAGGTGACAGGAAACAAAACTGAAGGCGAAGGAGAAACGAAAAAGACAAAATGCGAAAACGGGGAAGAAGATTCGATGTTTGTGGTTGACTGGCAAGGTGGTGTCGAAGACAGGCCATTCCTGTCGGGTTGCGAACCTTGTCATCGCACATGAAGAATCCCCCAGATTGAGGTGTGTGTCTGGACGGCCGGCGCTAGTGACGGATGGCTGCCCATGCTTGCGCATTTGTGCCGCCGCTGTCTTTCCTCTCTTGACATTAAGGCCTCTTTTTGGGCTTGTAATCATTTGTGGCGCGCCTAGGTGTGAGGATTCTTGAACTTGCTCAATCCACCTCGTTCTTACAACATCTTCGCCTCCTCAAACGTTGGCATCGCCGGATCCTGAGATCCGAGAGGTCATTTTCAGGCTTGGTATTGAGGACGCAAGAGGCCTGTCTGACCGAAATGATTTTGAGGCGTCTGGGTCTTGTGTAACGGCTGTTCGGTCCTTTCTTGCGACACCTTCATCTTTGCGGCGGCCTGGCGATATTTCAATCACGAATACCGGATACCCTAAGTTATTGAGAGAGCGCGTCGATCGCAGGAAGTTTGCCGATTACGACTTCCAGCATCCGCGACCGTCGAGCGACACTAATTCGACATCAGAGGCCATCACAATGAGCCACGACCATGGAGGAAGCAGCAGCGGGGGAGACATGGGGGGAATGACGATGGGAACCGCCCTTTTCCAGGACACGAACGTCCAGCTTGCCAAGTCATTCTGGTATATTATTGCCGGCGTCATGGGGTTCTTGGGCATCATCCGCGGTCTCAACTACCTCGAAGGCCGCAGACGGTACGAACCTCACCCGTCATCCCGCAATCATAGAGACAAAAGCTGACTGTCTACAGACTTAAACGATGCCGATCTGAATCGGTCCAATTCCCAACACGACCGACAAACCACATAACACAAATATGGGCAACCGCAACAGCCCTCGCGCGCGAAGCAGGCCATCCGCAGCTCTACATCCCCGTAAAGGGCCTGCGCTGGGCCACGCCCCCGCCCCTCGGCCGCATCCTCGTCCTGCTGGCCTACTGGGCCGTCATCATCTACATGATGGCCGCCGACGCCGTCGTCAAGGACGCGTACTTCTGGGAGCGCATCGGGTTCCGCAACGCGTGGGTCACCATCATGCAGATGCCGCTCGTCTACCTGCTGTCGATGAAGGTCAGCGTCGTCGGGTTCGTCACGGGCACGTCGCACGAGCGGCTGAACTGGCTGCACCGCTGGGTCGCGCGGACGATGTTCGTCACGGCGACGGTGCATGGGTTCCATTTCTGGACGGAGTGGGTGAGGGCGGATTTTGTCGAGACGCAGCTGAAGATCATGCCGTATATCAAGCATGGCATGGGCGCGTGGGGGTTGTTGGTGTGGGCTTTCGTGAGCGGGATGAAGCCGATTAGGGGCTTGGCGTACGAGGTGTTCGTGGTGCAGCATGTCCTCTCGGCGGTGATCTTCATCTGGCTGGTGTATGTCCACATCCCGGTGTACGCGAGGCAGTATCTGTGGTTTACCGTGGCGCTCATCTGCTTCGATCGGCTGGCAAGGTGGGCGGTGCTCGCGTGGCAGAACACGACGCCAAGGCTGAGCACATCATCGCCATCTTCGTCGTGTAAGGGGATGAAGAGACTAGGGCACGAAGTCCAGGTCCGCGCCGTGGGCTCCTCGACGACGGTGCTGACGATCAAGGATGTGCACTTTTCGTGGAAGGCCGGCCAGCACCTATATCTCTGGCTGCCGCGCGTCGGGCCGTTCGAGGCGCACCCGTACACCATCGCCTGCGCGCACCAGCTGCCGGAGACGTGCATCTGCAACAGCATCCAGCTCGTCGTCCGCTCGCACGGGGGCTTCTCGCGGCGGCTGCACAAGTTCGCGGAGCGCATGGCCGGGTCTGGGAGGAGGAAGGACACCCTGACGGGCTTCGTGCTGGGCCCGTTCGGGGCGCCGCCGCGGTGGGACATCTACGAGACGATGGTGCTCATCTCGGCGTCTACGGGGACGTCGTTCACGCTGCCGATCCTGGAGAGCATCGTGCACAGCCGACGGAGAATCTGCACGACAAGGGTGGACTTTATATTGATGGCGCGCCAGGGCGAGGAGATTGAGTTTTACAGGCAGAGGCTGCGGGAGGCAATGGATCGAGCGCAGGATGTCGGGCTTGAGTTGCGGGTGCATGTTGCCATTACGAGGTCCGGGAAGGCGAGGGAGGGGGAGATGACGACGGTGTTGTACTCTGATCGAGACACGAGTTCGGGGTTGTCGGCGCAGCATCGGCGGATCGCGTCGGACGGGTCGGAGGATGGCGGGGGGTATCAGGAGAAGGGGGTGATGGACGTCGAGAAGGGGGGTGCTGGGGCTCCGTTGACGCCGAGGAGGAGCGGGTCGTCGACGGGCATGGTGAGGGAGTTTCACAGCCGGCCGGATCTGAAGGAGCTGATTCGGGATC